AGAATTGTTTGAAAAGGTTGAAAACAAATGAAGCCCAAACCACAATAGGAAGAAACAGTTCCTAATTGTTCTGACTGTTTTTATTTCTTGTTCCCCCTTTTCTGTATCTATGCTCTCTAAAATCAGTCTGTATATGCATATTCTGTGGTCTCTCTCTAAATCTCTCTTCTCTTTAAAATTCAGTCTCAATTTTCAGTCCCAAAAAAATATGTCTGTGTTTTTCTTTTCAAAATTCAGTCCCCTCACTAATGGAAGTTCTTCTCCCTTTTATATCCTAACATCAGGCTATTCACAGCCTGTTTAAACAACTCAGAACCTATTCCTTTTCAGCTATTTTTCCACTCAAACATTTAAAATTAGGAACCCCCCATCATATTCCCTGACAGTCCCCCTTATCCTCTTATTAAACTAAAAGTAGACATGGGCAGCAGGAATATAACCTGACAGCATATCTGTCAAACTATTTTAAACTTTAAAAAGGCCTTAATGCACATGTTGTGCACAAATGCACATGGCCCCATTTCAGACTGCAACTAAACAAAACAAATCCTCAAATTTCTGATTCAAATACATCAATTATAAGTAGCTAAACTCAATTCCTAATTGATTCAGACAATGCTTAACAGAAACAGATCAAATTGTTATTATTCAAACAGCTGAAGCTATTCGATGATACGTATCCAATCGACTATACTAATTATAACATGTACAATCGAAAACCATGATCAGACATCTAACAGTATCAAACACATGATTCGAATTGTACTGACTAAGCCAAAATTGTACTGGGGAATCAATTAATCAGTCAAATTTAAAGTTCAATTGATTGCACAGCTCATACACATATACACATTATCATTGAATAGAAGAAAAACTCGATCAAACACAGAGGTTCAGGTAAGGCGGCCAGGACACAGTCGACAAACAATTCAAAAATAAAATCAACTAAACATTTTGGGGCAATAAACAAACGTTTAACTACAGCAAAACTCATGAACTGATAAAAAGGAAAACACAAATACCTGAAATCTTGAAATATCAGCAAACCCTGGTTCGGATTTGAATCGATCTTTCTTGGGGCTGAATGGACTTTAATCGAAGTGTTCTCTACTGAGAACACTTCGATTAAGGTCCATTAGACCTTAATCAATTAGTTCAAACGGCCTTAGACCAGGCATCAGGACTTCTAGGGTTCCTATGGGTAGATTTGGGATCTAAATTTCCTTGGTTAGATTCGGACCAAACCAAGCATGGTTTGGTCACGAGGGAGGTCCGGGGACTGTCTGGTGTGAAACTGGGGTAGATCGGGGTAAGTCGAGGTCCGACTCGAACCTTCAAATGAAGATTCAAGAAGGTGGGAGGGGATTCGAGACCAAAGGACAACAGATCTATGTTCGGGGTGGTGAGGCGGTCCTAGGGTGTAAGGTGGGGGTTACCGGCGTCCATGCCGCCGGGATTAATGGTGAGGGAAAAGGGGGCGGCTAGGGTTCTAAAGGGTCTGTGGTGAGGACGATGAAAGGTAGGGAGGTGTTTGGATGGGGCGTGGGGTATGGTTATAGGCTTATATAGTTAGTGGGTGAATAGATCCTGGCCATCGGATGAGGTGAGGTGAAGGGCCAGGATCTTTTAGCTAGTGGGAAACGGTGTCGTTTCAAGTGCAAGGGGTTGGGTTGGTCCGGGGTTGAACGGGTCGGGTTTGTTCGTGGGTATGGGGAGTGTGATCTTGGCCGTTGATCATTCTGAGATCAACGGCCCAGATCAGACCATATCAAAACTACGTCATTTGGACGCTCCTGAGGTTAGCTGGTCTGGACCGGGGCAAGCACACGTTTTGGGCTCGATTTGGGCCTCAGATTTTAAACGGGAACATGCCCAAACTTGATTTCAGGCCAATTTTGCACTCTTTTTCTTTTATTTTTTATTTTAAAACAAAACCTAATTAAACAAAATTAAACTCCATTAATTAAACACTTAATACAATTATTTACACACACATCAAAAAATATATAAAAAATAGATAAAATCACCAAGGCGACAAATAGGACAAAACATGCATATTTCGTGATTTTCCTTTTGATAACCGGACTATGGTTCAACTACACATGACACACACATTTTTTGTATTTTGTTTGATAAAAATAGAAATGAACAGAATCACAAATAATTAACGAAATGCCACGTAAAAATCCAAAAATTGTACAGCAAGACCAATTGCTATTATTTTTGTTTCTTTTGGAGTGAATGTCGCGAAAACAAAAATCACGTGCTCACAGGGGTTAAAAGAAAAGACGACAAAGGAAAACCGCAAGAAGGAAGCAATAGCAAAGACCATGAGCAAACGACGCTTGCGGACAATTCATGAAATTTTCACGCCTAATTTTTGTCTGGCCATCAATCACCAATCCAAAACAACCTCTACATACCACAACTTACATAAATAAAAGGGCAGTCCCTCTCAACATAATGCACAATCATTTCTTTGATTGTCCTTTTTGTCAATAGAAAACTCTTCTATTGTTTCTATTAAAACCAAACAAAGAAAAAAAAAGAAAAAAACGAAAATAGAATATGGAAAAGTTGAGATTTGTTCTTGTGTTGCTAGCATTGTGTCTTTCAACATCACTAGTAAAAGGAGGAGATCCTTTTTTGTTTTTTGAATGGAAAGTCACTTATGGCACTATCTCTCCCCTTGGTGTACCCCAACAAGTTATTTTGGTCAATGGCCAATTTCCAGGACCTATAATTAATGGTACCTCCAACAATAATATTGTTGTCAATGTGTTCAATCAGTTGGACGAGCCGTTCCTCTTTACATGGAACGGCGTCCAACAGAGGAAGAATTCGTGGCAAGAAGGTACCCTTGGCACCAATTGTCCCATTCCTCCCGGGAGCAATTTTACGTACCAATTCCAGGTCAAGGATCAAATTGGAAGCTTTTACTATTACCCCACCACAGCTTTGCATCGTGCAGCGGGTGGGTATGGTGGGATAAGTGTACATAGTCGCGCATTGATTCCCGTCCCCTTTGACGTTAACCCTGCAGACGAATTCTTTGTCCTTGTAAGTGATTGGTACACCAAAAGTCATTCCCAAATGAGGAAGCTTTTGGACAGTGGGCGCGCCCTGGGAAGGCCCAACGGAGTCATTATCAATGGCAAAAGTGGCAAAGGTGATAACAAGGACGAGCCAATGTTCACTATGACCCCTGGAAAGACGTATAGATACAGGTTCTGTAACGTTGGCATGAAGGATGCTATCAACGTTAGAATCCAAGGACATGTCATGAAATTAGTTGAGATCGAAGGATCTCACACCGTACAAAACATGTACGATTCACTTGACGTTCACCTCGGACAATGTATGTCTGTTCTGGTAACTGCTGATAAAGACCCTAAGGATTACTTCCTCGTGGCCTCCACACGATTCACAAAGGAACCACATACTGCTACCGCCACTATCCGTTATGCCAATGGCAAAGGCGCCCCGGCCTCATTAGAATTGCCAAAGGCTCCAATTGGTTGGGCTTGGTCACTTAACCAGTTCCGCTCATTCCGTTGGAATTTGACAGCAAGTGCAGCTAGGCCGAATCCACAAGGATCCTACCACTACGGCCAGATCAACATCACGCGTACCATAAAACTAGTGAACGCGGCGGGCTCAGTGGACGGGAAACTTCGATATGCAATCAACGGTGTTTCACATGTGAATCCTGAGACTCCAATTAAGTTGGCTGAGTACTATGGTGTTGCTAATAAGGTTTTCAAGTATGATCTTATTAAGGATGATTATGAAGCTCCAACTGCTAAAACAGAAGAGAAGATTACACTTGCACCAAATGTAGTAAATGGAACTTACCGCAACTTTGTGGAGATCATCTTTGAGAACCATGAGAAGAGTGTTCAATCTTTTCACTTGGCTGGATACTCTTTCTTTGCTGTTGCGTAAGTATCTTTTGTCCAAACCTCTACTCTCTATTTTAATTTAGAATATTTTAATCCTACTCAAGAATGCTATATTGGCCCCTCTACACTACTAACTTTACTAGAGGCAAATTCAAATTTGATTTAAATAGGTTCAAGCTAAGGTTTTGAATTCTTTGGAAATATGAGATTAGAACATAGCAATTCAATTTTTATAGTTTTCACGAATATATTTATGGCTAAATAAAAAAAAAATTATGGGTTCAAATTAATAGAGACGGATCTAAGATCGGAACATTATAGGCTCGAGCCCAATATTCAACTAGAGCCCACAGAATTCTGATTTGTACTCATTTAGTGAACTTTTTAACTTATATAGAGCGTTTCAGTCAAAGTTATTGAGTTCGAATGAACCTATAACTTATGACTACATCTGCCTCTCATCCCTAAAGCTGTACATTCGTTACTATTAGTTAGTGATGGATGCAGTTTACAGTATTTTGACGCGTATGTATGTGTGTGTGTGTTCCCGTGTGTGTGAATATACACTAAAATTTTAACAAATATTAGACCTGAATTGATAATTTTAATACTGTCAAACATCTCCATAACATCCTCGTTTGTTCCGATATTTTTTGGCTGCTATAATGAGGTGTTGTTATAAAGGACATATGTTATAACATAACATAAAAACCGGTTCCCAAAAAAATTGGCTTTTATAGTGAATGTTTGTTATATAGAGATGCTGTTATAGAGAGGTCTGACTGTAGTACAATAATTTTAGTATAAAAACGTTAAATTAACGTTGAATCCATCACGTTTAAATCCTCGATCTGTCTTTGGATTTTAATGAAATGACATGGTGTATATATGTAGGATTGAACCAGGGAAATGGACACCAGAGAAGAGGAAGAACTACAACTTGCTTGATGCAGTGTCAAGGAATACCATCCAAGTTTACCCTAATTCATGGGCAGCAATCATGACAACTATTGACAATGCTGGCCTTTGGAACTTAAGGTCAAATTCTCTTGAAAGGCAATACTTAGGACAACAGCTTTACTTCAGTGTCCTCTCTCCAAAAAGAGATTTGAAAGATGAATACAATATGCCTGACAATGATATCTTGTGCGGCATAATTAAGGACATGCCTCTACCAAAACCTTATTCCGTATAAACATTGATATACTTATGTATGATTTCAGAATAACTCTTTTTGCTCCTAACTCATGTAGGCCTTAATATTCTGAGTTAGAGAGAAGATAGCACAAACCAAAGAAAAAAAGGGAAAAAAAATTGACAAGAAATCCATGTTTGTATAAGGGGATTGAAGAGTTTTGGGTGACAAAAATCTCAAATTCTTGGTCTGCTATTCCCCAACACATTGGCCAGCCTTTTGTGCATGCAGAATGAAATTCCTTCTATTTGCATTTTTTTTTTTAAATAGTGTAGTCAAGAAATAATTTTGTTATTTGTTTCTGAATGCATTGAGCAAATCATCACTTATCAATAAGAGGACAATGAATGTTTATTTTCCATCCTCCTTGGTACCTTTTAGATTTGTTATTTCTCTTCATTGCACTGTTTCATTTTCTTACTATTTACTTTCAAAGAATGATACTCCCTTCGTTTCAATTTATGCGACACTTTTCGTTTATTGAGATTCAAACTTTTTAATTTGACCATGAATTTGAACATAAAAATCTTTATTTCAAGATAAAATTAACATATTAAGAAACTATGTAAAAAATACTATAAGTCATAATAATTAATAATAAGAGTACTCAAAGAAGGGTACTCCCTCCGGCCCAATTTATGTCACTTTTCGTTTATCGAGATTCAAACTTTTAAATTTTCACCGTAAATTTAAGCATAGAATTTGAGATAAAATTAACATATTAAGAAATTAAGAAAAAAATAATATAAGCTACAATAATTAATAATTCAAAATACTCAAAAGGTACATGAGAGAACCGCGGTCATATACGGATTCGTTCGACTCTCGAAATCGAAATACCTTCACATAAATTGGCACGGAGAGAGCGCATATCTGATCAATACCTTTACATTTGGATTTTTTTCCACACCTCACAAACAAGTAGGCAATTAAGAAGCCATCACTGTACAAAAAACAAACTTTTGGCAATAATCCCAAAGCCTTAATACACATATATGTTGGCACTAAAGACACTTAACATTTCCTTCTTGCAAATTTGAAAAATCAGAATATATAATAATGTTTTAATTAAGAAGAGAGAGTAAGGAAATTAGGGATTTTGAGATGTTCCCAACTCCTAGGAAGGACAGAAGTAGAGGCACCATCTATTCCTATGTGAGTCACATGCTTCACATCTGTTGGAACTCCTATTTCCATCCCAATGATCTCCTCATCCTCCATTTCATCCTTATCCACTGCAAATATTACATAACCTTATTATAGTTAGTTAAGTATTCAATTACAGAAATAATTTTGTGATGCATATTACCCTTATATTAAATTAAGGGTGTCAAGTGGGCGGGTTGGGCTAATTTTAGGCAGATCAAAATTGGTTAAGTCAATATATAACTAAGCGTGTCCTTTGACGGATTGGGCTGATTTGAGCGAGTCAAAATGAGTTGAGTCAATAAATGAGCGTGTCATTTGACGGGTTGGACTGATTTTGGGCGAGTCAAAATGGACTAAGTCAATAAATGGGCGGGCCAAAGTAACTTGGACTGAGATAGGTTGGGTCAAATTAGGCTAAATTTTAGATCATAGTCCAATCAGCCCAACTCTTAACAAACTTTAAATAATGTGTGTTGTTTTCTTATACATTGTTTAATTATCAAAAAATATTTTTTTCTTTTGTTATGGTCATATATAACATATCAAACAAATAAAATTATTTTTAATATATTTTAGCAAGGTTACTCATGGATTAATTTGGGCTAAAAATCAGTCCAACTTTAGATGGAGAGAAATTCAAAAATAGCCAGATTTACAACTGGTCGTTCAAAAATAGCCAAGTTTCAAAAGTAATCGAAATTTAGCCACTTTTCATGTAAAGATAAATCTGAGCGAAATACTGTTCAAAACCCGGAAAATACGCCAGTATATTATACTGGAGTTCCAGCATAAATATGCTTGAACTCCAGCATATTATACTGGAGTTCCAGGATAAGTATGCTGGAACTCCATCATAATTTCCAGCATAAGTATACTAGAACTCCAGCATAATATACTGGAGTTCCAGCAAGTATAATTGTCCAGTATAATATACTGGAGTTTGGAGAACCGGTGCTCCAGTCTCCAGTATGTTATACTGGAGTCAGCAAAGTATACTGGTCCAGCATAATATGTTGGAGTTCATACACAGGTGCACCGAACTCCAGTATATTATGCTGGACCGGTCTCTGTTGCAGCAAAATAGTGGCTATTTTTCATTGACTTCGTAAACGCTGGCTATTTTTGAATGACCAGTCCGAAAACTGGCTATACCGTGCTATGTTTACCTTTAGATGGACTGAAATAGATTGGGTCAAGATGGGCTGAGTTCAATAAAGTGATTTTACACAAGTAGCCGGTCATATTCATTGTTTACTCTTTTTAGCCATATACATAGATTATACACGACTATACACATATTATACATATATTATACCGTCGCCGACTATTTTCAATTTAAGCAATTGAGGGGGCGACTAATCGAGTTAATTCTTCTTCAATAAATGAGCAGCTCTATTATCAGCCCAACCTTGAGCAGGTTACGTCAAATGAATTTGGGCTCAAATTGCCACCCTTACATTAAATAAAATTTAGTGATCAATTGTATGAGACAGAAATGGTTAATATATCAGAACTCCTCTAGCTGTGTGTGGTCTTGACCTTAGAGAAAGAAATATATCCCAATCTATTCAAAAGTTTAAGATTTTTACTTCTTTCACACTTACTCTATATATATAGAGAGAGAGGGGAATAGTTGATCATTTTTATCTTGAGTAACAAACTAATTCAACGCAACAGAATGAAACCCGGAAACTTGCTTAGTTATAAATTTATGTACCTTCCTTGCTTTTCATTGAACTACAAGAAAACCTTTTTTTAGTTCATTTCAAGCATTTAATTCCCTAGTAAGTGATTACAACCAAAATTTGTTCAAATAACAGCTGAGTTGAGAATAAGAGATTCAACATATATGGTAAACCGTGGAGACTCACCAAATAAGTGGGACAAGTTCTTGAAATTCTTGAAAAGCCTCTGAAACTTGGGAAGTGCCATAAGGCTTAAATTAGGACTCTTCAAACTTGAAATTCTGTCATCATCCTCTCCTTCTTCTTGTTCCTCCTCCTCCTCTTTTCCTTCTTCTTGACTCCCTGCATTATGGAAAATATTAACACCAACATAGCCATTCTACACAAAGGATTTACCTTTTATATATGCTGACAGTATAAATAATATTTACATTATCATGGTATTTTAATTTGTTACAGCGAGTAAAAGGACAGCCTGGCGCACTAAACTCTCGCTATGCGCGGGGTCCAGGGAAGGGCCGGACCACAAGGGTCTATAGTACGCAGCCTTACCCTGCATTTCTGCAAGAGGCTGTTTCTACGGCTCAAATCTGTGAAGTCATATGGTAGCAACTTTTATTACCAGTGACGCCAAGGCGAGTAACTTGTCTTATTTTTCATGTTAATATTCACACTTTTTATGGACATCCACATGTATGTAAAAATTATGTTACATTGTCAGTATAGAAATTATAACTCCTACAAATAATTGTAAAATGAGGTGTGTGTAGTGTAAGGGAGAGGGAAGAATTAAGAGAAAGAAAGAGCAAAAGAGACTTGTGGGAGTTAAGTTGGTTTCATGAGGGCTTGATCTTTTATGATGAAGTTGACCAATTGCAACACTTGATTCAGAGATGCAACCCATAGAAAATGGAAGAAGTACAAATTTTTCCATTCTATCCCTCATTCTGATCAAACAAACTAACAACACACAAAAATGTAGATATTCTTGTTCCTTTGTGGTGAAAGGACGGAGAAGAAAATGGTAGTTGGAATTATAAGGTTGGGAGAGTTGGGAAGGGTTTGTTATAGTAGTTGCTGTCTTTTGCCTTTATTGTTAAGTTATATTACTCATAATAATAATAATAATACCACGTTTATAGTCAATAGCAAATCTTAAGCTGAACATGAATGTTCAAACCATACATAACGCACATTAGCACATATATACTATTCCCTATCAGGTGACACTTTTCGCTCTTCGAAATTCAAACCTCTTAAATTTGACTGCATATTAGACATACAAATATACAATCCTTATGTTTTTCAAAATTAGAAAATTTACATATTTCGAAACTATGTAAAAAGTATCATAAGTCATAATAATCACTCCCTCCGTTTCAAAAAGATTGTTTTAATTTGACTTGGCACAAACTTTAATAAAAAATGGAAGACTTTTGAGTTATATGATCCTAAATAAGTCATAGCATTTGTATGACCGTAAAACTTTTAAAACTTGTGGTCTGAAATCTGTCATAACATTTATGTGACTATAAATGCTTCTTACGAAAGAAATAATAAAATGTGTCAATCTTTTCGAAACAGACTAATAAGGAAATAGTAGTGTCATTCTTTTTGAAATAGAGGAATAAATAATTCAAAATATTCAAAAGGTATATAAAAAAGTTGCGATCAAAGATTAACTCATTTGACTCTCAAAATTTGAACACCGTCGTATAAATTGGGACGGAGGAAGTAGTAAAGAAGAAATCTCAACTGTACATTCAGATATGTGTGTTTGTTTTGTCAGACCTTCATATGTTGGGTCGTAGTGCATTGTGGGGTCTTCTTTTTAATTTGCTTGTCACACTAGAGGAGAAGTCACAATTGTTTTAGTTGGAAGATACCAAACACTAGTCCCCAATGCACTACGTACCAAAATTCTTTTCCTTTTCCTTCTTTTCATTTCTAGTGAAACATGATCGAGTATTTACTTCAATTGGACTCCAACTCTATTAAGTGTATAACAAGCAAAAATGGAACTTTTTTAATGTAGATGATTTTGGATCCATAATTTCTTAGATTCAATTACTACTGTATTGACTAAGCTGCATCCTTTTGGACGTTGTATAGTTTAGCAAAACATTTAATGTAAATTGTAATCATGATTTCTCGATCATTTGCTCCACCTAATATTATTTTGATTAACCACATCATTACCCTCCTAAGAATATTATGTCATGGAAATATTTATCATACTGCTTGGTACTTGTAGCTAATCCATTTGGTTTTATCTCTAGTTAAAAAACTCCAACTAGTACAAAGTAAAAACTTATGATGTTTACACTACAATAAATATTTGATTGTAGTGAGTTTTGGCTTTTAGCTAAAGAGGTATGTGCATATTTCTGTGGGCTGAAACCAAACAAATAGCTTCAACGGGACATTTCTGATTGCCAATAATCTGATTTTGGTTCAGCTTTTTGAGAAGTTCGTTTTGAAAATATAGTTTTGGAGCAAATATATATCGGATTGCCAAACATATATCTTTTTTGCTTCTTTAATTTTTTGGTTGTTATAGTAAGTGTTGTTATAGATGACATATCTTATAACATAACATAAAAATGGTTCCACGACTGTTATATAGAGATAAGGTCTGACCAAAGATCTTTAGAATTTTTTAGAACGTTAATTGCTACTGTATTTTTTTTTTTTTTTTTTTTTTGCTTTTCACTGTCACAACTCATAAATGAGACGTTTAAGTACTTAGAATTCTTTAATAAATGAACTTAATATTCTTCAGATCACCCACGAACAAATTCAACCTAAATAAAATTAAAGGAGCAAAAAAGATATACCTGAATAAAAATGAATGACGCAGAATAATTGGAGAATAAAATTTTGGTAAAAGGGACGCGTTTATTGTCCAAATGTGGAAAAAGAATGTAACGTTTATAGCTGTGTACCTACTTTTTGGGTTAGGATAACTTCTCCGAATAAGCATTTCAAACTTTAATGAGATGACCTACTACTAGCAAATTTAAAGCAAAGTGAATTGAATGGAATGTACCCTACATTGATTTGCCCTAAACTACAAGTCATCCAAAGTTGATCACCAATCAAGAATCAAGTAAAGACGAAAAATATGGCCTACCTAATTGAATCATTTAGCAATAGGGTTTGGAAGAGTTTCAATGATAACACTTGAAGTGAGGTACCCTAATTAATGATTTTTTTAAAAACCGGAAAAGGGTGGAGATTGAGAATTAGGATGGAAGGTTAGCGGTAGCCGTTAGTGTCTCTTCGTCTTACAAGTAGTACTAGTACTATTTGTGTATTTTTCTTATTCCTGCTCTTTATTATTACATGTTTTGTCACTTGCCCCTATTGCATTGTTGTTGCCACTATTTGTTACTTTATTTTACTGTTCCTTGAGCCAAGGGTCTATCGGAAATAGTCTCTATCTTCACGAGATAGGAGTGAGGTCTGCATACACATCACCCTTCCTAAATCCCACTTGTAAGATTACACTGGGTTTTTGTTGTTGTTTAATAACCGGGAAATCCTCAAGGGCTAACTCACACACAGTTCGGAACTCAATGAATAATGTTTCCCTTTCTCCCCGCTATCATTCTCCACTTAAATATCATAGCCGCGTTCGAGATCCATGACTTGTGCCAAACCCATGCATGATATGCATCATGCGCTACACTCTTACCACTGGACAAACGTCCTGGGGTAAAACAACCTTAATCAGTGAAATTGCGGCAGCATAACTTTTCGAGTAGTCTTCAGGCAACTGTTTTAAGGTTTCTTAAAGAGTCTACCACATCATTAGTTCAATATTCAGGAACCTATGATAAACAAAGTGTTGAAGTCTTGTACAAGTAAAGCCACAACTCTTGGACTCAGTTTACACGGGATGTGAATGTAGACATCAAATAAAATGCAAGGCAGAAATATATTAACATCTTCATACAGCAGAATAGGATATTTCTAAAGAGAAATTAGAAGTTGAAGGGTAGATTTTACAGAAATGACTTACTGCACATAACTGTGAATTCCAAACGCTTGAGCATCAGTGTAAATCGTCACAAGCATTCTCTCTTGACACTATAAACAGGTAGTGAAAGGACAAACTAGAAGTTACAGTTCCTGAAGAGCTATACATTTATGTACTTGGAGCATGGAATTTCCAATGAGCTGGAGAAAGCTGAGAGTTATTACCTGGAAAAAAGCGGACTTATAAATATGATTCCTGAATATCATTGGTGAACAGGTGAAGTCTAATATAAATCAACAAATGCACCGGTTAACCAGTAAAAGATCCCACAACTATCAGGGATATAAAAACACAACAGCTTAAATAGAAAGCATAAGGTACAAAGATTTTCATTCTATTTCATATGCAATTACCTCTGGTTAGATTTTGCAATGCCAATTGAAGTCAGGTTAGACAATTTGAGGCAAACAGTCAGTAGTCATTCACAAAGTCACCTGACCAAATTATTGTTCTTGGCCTCTCAAAAAGACAAATGATGACATGATCAACCATATATTAAACCAAGAAATATCCAAAAAGATTTGAGTTGATGTTCCTTAACTATCACCAGCTTAACTTGTAATCTCTGTATGTGTCGGGAGCAATCCATCAGCCTTCGAACTGTAAAGTCAGCATCAAACATATTGCACCAGAATTCAGGTTCTAAACTGGGTAAAGGCTCACCAAATGTGATATCTAGTGATTAAAGGTGTACACAAATGTGTCTGCTCCTCTCCTTTTCTTCGGCTTCCTGCATTCCCAAATTTATGTCATTCTCAAAGGTGGGTGTCCTTCAGTTGCACGGCAGCTTGTTTGAATCTATCTGATTTTTCCCTTATAATCATGTGGAATTCTGGATTTCATTTGTCAACTAAGTCCATGATTGACCTGGGAGTTTCATAACTTTCATTTCCTTCATCAGGACCCTTATTTTCGATGCTTCATCCCAATTGTCATTGTCTGAACAAGTATTTGATAACAGAATGTAAGGACTGTCTTCCCTTGGCTGAAGTTCTAGCAATTTCTCAGTAACACGTCTTGCCATCTTTACGTTTTTGTGAACCAAGCAAGAAGATAATAGTACCTTCCAAACTTGGGTCATGTTAGAGATTCTATTCTCATGAATGAAATCATAAGCCTCCTCTAAACAACCTGCTCGGCCAAAAAGATCAACCATACAAGTGAAATGTTCGACACCAGGCTTGATACCGTAAACTTGGTTCATCAACCTAAAATACTTGCACCCGTCTTTCACCAAACCTGCATGACTACATGCAGTTAAAACGCTAACGAAACTTACTTCATTTGGTGCAATCCTCTGATTCAGCATAAGCTCAAAAAGCTGAACAGCCTCTGCTCCTTTTCCATGTATAGCATAACTGTTTATCATAGTCGTCCACACCACGATATTCTGAGTTTGCGTTTGCTCAAAAGACAACCAAGCAGAATTTAACTTTCCGCATTTGGCATACATGTCAATAATTGCTGAAATCAAAAATATGTCCCATATGTGTCCAAGTTTTTGGACATAGCAATGAATCTGCTGCCCAAGTTCCAAAAACTCACTATTCGCACAAGCACTAAGAATGCTTGACAGCGTAAACACATCCACTTCCAATTGATCACGCACCATGGAGCTAAAAAATTCCAAAGCATCTTTCAGCATTCCATTGTGAATATAACCTGATACAATTGTACTCCATGGAACAGAATGTGAATGTTGTACTTCGGCAACAACTTGGCGTAACTCCTGGAAAATTCTAGAAGCCTTCTCCATTTGACCACATTTGCAATACATATCAATTAGTGAGGCCCTTACAAGCGTGTCTTCATATATTGACAACCTCCTCACTTTACCATGGAGTTGCCTCCCTAATTCGAGATTTCTAAGTGAAGACATTAATGCGAATGATATAGAAAACGTAACTTCGTTAAATGAAGGCCTACATGAGGTCATTTGACATAGGAGCTCAAGGGCATCCTTTTCAAATCCACGTCGCATAAGCCCATCAATGATTGTATTCCAACTCGAAACATCCTTTTCAGGCATCTTTTTAAAAAGCTTTACACTCTTCTCCATATCTCCTATACTCAAATATCCTGCCAGCATTATATTCCAAGATACCGCGTTTTTATCACCCAGCAGTTCAAAGAACCGTTTCGCATAATCCAAGGCCTCACATTTGACATAAAGATCAAGTACAGCATTCTCCAAAGCAACATCCAAATACACTGCAGCAGTAAGCATCCACCCATGTATAGATTTGCCCAATCTAAGCCCGTGACTAACACTAGAACAACACTTCAAGACACTAGATAAAGTGAACTCATTAGGACTAACATTGCCCTCTTTTTGCATCTTAATAAACAACCATAATGCATTTCTGTAACACCCATATTGAGTAAAACCCGAAATGAGTATCGTCCACGTTCGAACATCCCTTTGAGGAATTTCATCAAACAGTTTCTGTGCAGAAGCTAAATGGTAACTTTTTGTGTAAAGATTTAATAAATAGTTACTACTAGAGGAGTTTTGGGCCGAACCATCTTTGATTTTCGTGGCATGAATTACTTCAACGTTGATTTGGGATAATGGAACTGAAGGCGAGGAAGAATAATGGGAATAATATTGAAGATGATGAAGTTTTATGAGAACTGGATTTGCAGTGTTACTTAAAACTGAAAGTACAGAAACAGCGGGAGAACATTTTAGAAGTGAATCAGTGCTAAGGAATGTAAAGTCTACATATTTCTTCCATATCATTGCAATTGCAAAAATTTCCAAGGTTTCGTTTGTGATAATTTTTTAGTTATAAATTCTTTGAAAAATGCATGTCAAACTAATACGAATATTTGGTAAAAGTAATTATGAACTAGTATTATGATAACTTTGAGGTTGTCGGTTGAGAGTTGAGAAAGAAATTATGCATGAATTTGCAAGGATTATTTCTTGTTGGATGTATATTTGAAAATTACGTACTACTGTATATTAGTTAAAACATATGACATACTCAATATAGTTAAAATATATATACGTCTACTTTCTAAACAAAGTTAGTTACCATTACGAAGATTAGTTATATCATTTAATTTTTTGAGTCCATGCATAACAACTACGCCTATTTCTTATTCCAAATGTTGTTATGCTATCGCAAGACTTTATATGAAGATTAATCTCCTTAGCAAAGCAACGAAATGGTTCCTAAGGAAAAGAAAAGAAAAAGGTAAACTGAACTCTCCCCTTCCATGTCTAGTGTATTACTCATCCGTCTCAATTTGTATGACACTTTTTTCTTTTTAAAGTTATTTTCAACATTAATAACATCTTTATATATTCGGAAAATTGTTTAAAATGCCCCTAAACTATTGTAAAAAGTTTAAAAATAGCCTTCATCCATTTATTGGGCTAAAAATACCCCTACATCCACCCTTTTTGTTCACTTATGCCCTTTGACCGTTAGGTCAATGCTGAATTAAAAATAATAATTATTTAAATTTCACGTGGCAACTTCTTATTGGCCAAAATTAAAACATCTAACCCATTAGAAAGACTCACCCGTATCTACCAGTTTTTCATACTAACTCGCTTCAAATACTAACCCGACTCGAACAAAAAATTCAACTAAAAAAAAGATGCCCCACTTCAATCAAACTCTATGGAACAGAAGCTCCATGGAAATTGCAGCGAACATATAGACATAAATTTACTAAGTGATTTTCTTTTTCTTATTATGGATTCAAATTCAATTTATATGATAGACATAAATTTACTACATGATTTTCTTTTTCTTGTTATGGCATCCAATTCAATTTATATGATAGACACAAATTGCATTATATTTAAGATGAGTTTAATTTAATTTCACATAACGGAAAGATCTTAAAGTGATTGTTTGAAAGATATCATAAACCGTTGGACGACCACTAGTTTTCCATCCCACATTATTGTCAAAAAAATCATTGGCTCATTCATGCTAGGTTTTTCTTGTTTGTTTAATTTGGTCATGAACCTTTATTCGGTGATAATGCTATACATGAAATTAATCAAGAAAATGAAGACATGTAAATCCATGGGTTAGATGGAAGTGGTACGTCTTTTTTATTTAAACTTTTTATTCGGGTCATATTCGGGGCGAGTTAGTCCGAAAAATAGGTAGATATGAGTGGGTCTTTCTAATAGGTTAGATGTTTTAATTTCGACCAATAAGAAGTTGTCACGTGAAATTTAAATAATTATTTTTTAAATTCAGCATTGACCTAACGGTCAAATGGCATAAGTGAACCAAAAAGGTGAATGGAGGGGTATTTATAGATCAATAGGTGGATGGAGAGTATTTTAAACCTTTATCAATAGTTCAGGGGCATTTTTGACCCTTCCCCGTTCTATATTTAGTAATAACTAGTCCTATGATATGCGTGTATACTATCTCGATGAGTAAGAAAAGACAGAATACATAATTTACCCCTTGACCTTGTGGCCAAATCCATCTGACACGCGTTTTAAATACGAGCAACCCTTTACACACTCAACCTTTTCAAAGTATCTCTAAGACACACCTGCTCGGTGTTTGACCTCTTTGTTCCCAGCAAGTGTATATCACACACCATTAATATCGTGACACGTGCCATTAACTCTAAAAAAATCACATTTAAAAACTTTCCGTCTTTTTGAAAAAGAAAAACAAAACAGAAAAGCTTCATCATCTTCTTAATTTACCCAAGACACCATTTTAGCCAAAATTCATCTCTCAAAATAGCTCTAAACAGCAAAACCCCCAAAATTTCTTCTTTCTCAAATAATTTAAAATATGAAAGCCAACAATCTAGCGTGGCCATCAGCTTTGGTATGAATTAAAAACTAGATTTTGTGGACCTGATTAACCAACAATGGGCAATATTTATTTGTAGGTGCTTTCTTTCTCTAAACTTTTCGAACCGGTTTTCTCTAATATAAAATTATTTTAATTTGGAGTTGAAAATTTTCAATTTCAATCACCTGCTCATCATTTGAAGTCTCTTCATTTAACTCCTTAACCCCTTTACTTTCGAAGCTGTGATTTTGAACTTTTTCACATTAACAGTGCTTGAAAATTAGAACATTGGGGATCATGATGAAGAATTTGAAATGGGTTTCATTGAACTAGTGGCAAAGTAGTGGCTTTTTTCCTTTGTGGTTTATGGGTTTTATTTTTGAATTGACAAAAAAAAAAATTATGGTGTAGCACAGATTGAGGTAGGTGATATTGGGTGACGATAATGTAGGATGACGGCGGAGCAACGATGAAGGAATGGTGAAGATGGAGGCCAACAAATTTGTTTTTGAAAAATAAATTTAAGATTGATTAAAAAATATGATGAAAAAAGAAGATACATAAAAAAATTAGAAAATTAAAAGAATTGAACACGTGGCGATATAGCTCCATACACAAAAAAGTTAATACTCGCTCGCTTCTATTGGGTGTAAATCACACAATGGCAAGTGAGCAAAAGTGGTGTGTTTTGGCATACTTTTGAAAGATTGCGTATATAAAAGGTTATCTCTATTGAAGGAGTGTGATTTGACCTCAAGTTTCGGGGGTAAACTATGTATTCTGCCTAAAATAATTTATAAAAGATCGTATAGGTATTATATTAAAATATTGTGTCTAAGTTATATAATCAAAGTTTATATTCTTGAAAACGATAAATGTTGATCATATATACCTAACTCAATAAAAGAAGAAATTGCGCATAGAAGTTCTCAATCATCAATCAATAAAAATCTGTTCCAATTTTATAATATCATCACTCATTATCATTCTTCCTTCTCAATTTCAGCATATAACCCTTAAAGAATAAGAGATTTACGATTTTAACTTTAAAATTCTAATTTAAGAAGCCCAACAAAAAATAAATTAAGTTGAGGGATGCATAACCAACCAGGAAACTAAAATCTTAGTGTCCATGGAAAAAAAAAATTAGAATATCAATCGATATTAAATATAAGATTCCTACTTATTCTGTTGTTCTTTTTTCCTTTTAAACCTACGACAATTTTGACTTCTCCTTAATAGGGATTTTTCTTTTTGTAAAAATAACATTTATTTGTAAAAGAAGAAGAAGAACATTGCAGAAAAAAGTAGAGAGAGAGAATTCTTATTGATTTGGAATGAATTACAATGGAATAGGACCCATTTATTTATAGGGAAAGAGTGGCTTAGCCACCAAGTAAAATCCCTAAGATCTCTCTAAAATATAGACATTCACCTTAAATAGAATTCTATTTATAACACTCCCCATTGAATGTCGATTCAACAGATAATGTGTCTTGTTAAAACCTTAACTAAAATAAAACTCAATGGAAAAAAATTCTAGAGAAGGAAAAAGAGTACACATATCTAACAATATGCCTTGTGGTTGCCTCATTAAAAACCTTGCAAGGAAAACCCAGTGGGACAAAACCTTGTAAGGGAAAAAGAGTGCAACGCGCATTAACTCCCCCTGATGAGAGCATCAATTCATATATTTAAGCATTTGCATTCCAATCCTGTGCACCATGTTTAAAAGATCTTTGGTAGAGATTTGATAAACAAATCGGCCAATTAACTTGAACAAATTTGTTTTACTTTGAAATCATCATCCCTAATAGATGTATTATCTTCATATGATCTTGTTGGAATCGTCAGTTCAATATCTTCACATAGAGGTGAAAACTCTTGCTATCATATCATCATGCTTATAGTTTTAGCAAGATACATTTGTGCACAAATTGCACTAAGGAAGTGGTACCTCAAGATCAAGAATTGTAGATGCTTCAAGCAACTTAAATCCTTCATGGATTGTCATATAAGTTAAGTCATATAAGACATATAATAGACTTTAGATGCATATCAAGTTTTCATGTCATGCTAGACATATAAGATATCGAAAACTGATTGCACATACCATTGACTTTATACTTTCAAGTATTTGAACAACATAGACAAAATTATATGTTTTTCATATAAAAACAATTCTATTCGAATTGTGTCTCTTCCATTTGGTCAATATTTTTTTTCTGTAGGCAACAGACTTAAGATCCTCGTCTATATTTAGCGCTATCATAGATGTCGTCGACAAATATTTTATATCGGTTCTAATATTTTTTCATAAATGTTGATATCCAATTTTTTCCTGTATCTTTTTTTATATGCAAAATACTTTCAAAATAGCATATATATGCATATATAAGTATGTCCCAATGCTTGATTAATTTTCTTAATTTTAAAGATTTTTTAACCAATTTATTTCTCTGTTTTATTCATTAAAAAAACCAATAATAATTCCCGAAGTTATCAATCTTGGTGATTCATTTATTGGATTCTCATATTTATACTAAAATATAGTCAATATAATTTTTTCATATTTTTACAAATTTATTTAGTATTTTAAAAGCTAAATTGCAAATAATTATAATATTAGCCTCTTTTAGATTTAATTGCGTTTGTATTTATAAAACATTAAGTCCAGTATTTTTAAATTGATAATTATGTATTACAAATCATTTTAGTACCTTCAATTTTGTAACGACCCGACCGGTCGTTTTGAACTTTTGCATTTTGATCGCCAGTTCCCAGGCATGACTTGCCCCGTGTAACGTATTATGACTGATGTAGATCATTAGTTTTGGTTTTCAGGAAAAATCAGAATGAATTTGAAGGAACAGTCTCAGTTGAAAGCTTTGAATTTGAAAGGTTTGACTAAGAGTTGACTTATTTGTATATGAGCTCGGATCGGAAATTTTATGATTTGGATAGCTTCGTTGGGTGATTTATGACTTAGGAGCGCGATCGGAATGCATTTTGGAAGTCCGTGGAAGGATTTGGCTTGAATTGGCAAAGTTAATATTTTGGCGAATTCCGGTTGATAGGTGAGATTTTGATCCGAGGGTCGGAATGGAATTCTGAGAGTTGATGTAGCTTCGTTATGTCATTTGTGATGTGTGTGCAAAA